CGGGGGCTGAGGCTGCAGGCCCGTACCTTTTCTGTGGGGAAGAGTGGGGCATGTGAATATGGGTGGATTTGAAAGGCCACCTCTCCCATCCTTTTTCCTTTTCCTCTTTATTTTTTTTCCCTGTTTATTCACTGCTGCACATCTGAACATCCAGACACACTAGAGGTGCCTGCAGCTGTTCTGTTTGTGGGTTTTTTTGTTTTGTCTTGTTTGGTTTCTGGTTTTGTTTCTTTGGTTTTCCTTTTTTCTTTTCTCCTTTGTAATTGCGGGACATACACCAGATAGCTGTGCTTTCTAAGGTACAGTGATGTGTTTTAGATTTAAGTGCAAATGCTGTCTGTATGTTTCCTTGTCACTTCCATGACTTGCAAAGGTCAGACCTTGATGATACTCCTAATAGTGGAGGTAGATGTTAGAATTCTATTTCTTTTAAGCTGTTAAAAACTGCAGAGCATCTCTCTGGTCTTTATTAAAAATAAGAAAAAACTGCTTTCGGCAAGATACCTGTTCTGATGTACTGCAGTTATTCAAGTATGTTAGTGCTCTTGCGTGAACATTCGTGTAGTAGGTGAAAGAGCAACAGAACTGGGTGTTGGCTTTTACGAAGTTTTTTGAGAAAGTACTTCTGGCTCTAGTAATTGTGTTGCTAGCTAACTAAAGCCCTAAATCGCTCTTCAGTGTGCTAAATTCAGTAGGTACACTTATTTCCTGAATGTATTATGTGTAATCTTCATTCTGTTTGTAGGCAGATGCATTCAAAGGTGACCAGAGTTTCTTAGTCTTTGTAGGCTTTTCTGCTGTGTTCATTAGTTCACATACCAGTTCGTTCTCTGGCCTTTGTGTTGGGAGAGTTAGCACGCTGCAGAAGATATGTGAACTTACACAAGGTCACACAAAGTCAGTACAGAGCACAAGACCTTCTGAGTTCAGCTCAGGGCATCAACCATAACACAGCTCAGAGACAAAGTGTTTTATGATCAGCTCTTGGAATTTGTCCTTGCTAATGTGTCAGATTGGAAGCAAAGAAATGAAATGGGTAACGGTCGACATGTTTTTGTGCTGTATATTTATATTTGAATAGCTTCAGGGTGTTTGTCTTATCTTAAGTCAGCATCAAGGTATGTTAGAATAACTTTCTTGCCCTCTGTACTACATGTTTAGCCGATTCTCTTTTCAGCTAACAGCTGTTAGGAAACCTGACTCTACTTCTGAAATAGAAAGTCTGGGATGTACTATAGCCTTCTTTCCTAATGCTGTTATACCACTACGAACTTAGGTACCTGTAAAGAGCTCAAGCCTAATTGATGCTGGCTTGCTTTTCTTAATTACTGTATTTGAACACCTAGCCGATGGGTGAGTCTGAATACCATTGTAATAAAGCAGATACACAAAGCTCTGCTTTTCTGTGGCTTCTATGAATGTCTGTCTCTGTCAGTTGAGGAGTATGACTTCTAAAAGTAAATTGTTGTGAAAAAGGGAGTGTGAACAGATACTTCTGGTGTCTGGGCAGCATGGTAACTACTGCAGTCCTGTTGTGCTGCAGGCCAAAGATGCAGCTAGACAGAGCTGCCTCATAATACAGACCCAGAGTCTGTTCTCTGATTACACTTGCATAGAAAGCCTTGTTTGTGTTTGTTTAACCAGTCACTCTGGCAAGTTGTAAACAGAGTATTACTGCTGTCTGCAAATCTGTTAGCATAAGCAAGCTATTTTAGAAGTATGTGCAACTCCCAAACCAGCACATTTACAGTCTTGAGCAGTATCTTGATTTAAAAAATTCTCATAGGTTATGCATTATTCTGTTAACTAATTTCTCGCTTTGAGTTTAGGCTTAAAATGGTGTCTGTGATCTGGTATTAGTTGTTTTAGAATAAAGAAAAAAATGACACTTTTATTACCTTGGTGATTAATTTTGAACAGTAAGGTGGGAAATATAAAATGTAATGTAAAATCTGGAACGTTTTGGGGAAGTAGGTCCCTTATAACAGTGAATTTATGAGCTGGATGAACCTGCTAGTGTTAACTGGTGCACTGTTGGTGCTGTTGATTGTAACTGTAAATTTTTGTTTACAATTGTAAAGGAATTTATTTCAGAAGTAAATAGACAAGGCAAAGAAGCTCTGGATAAGATAGGGTTTTGATGTCTTTTGATTTTATTAGTGTTTCTCTGGAGATAGCTCTTAAACTGATGAAACACTTTAATGTCTATTCTATTATATATTAGAATAACACAACTAGATCTAATAGCAAAAGAACCTAGATTATCCCTTTGTGCTGTGGGGAATGTTTTTGCGTAGTGTATGGTTTTCTATATAGTTAGTCAGTATGTTAGTTTTGTATTTTCTTTTATATATGCATAAATAATGCTAAGCATAGTAGTAGAACTGTGCTGCTACCTTTATGCTTATTTCATACTGTTAATTATAAAGTGAAGTGTTTTCTGGTTGCATGTAATCATACCCTCTGTAGTTTCTTCAAAAGTGGAAGAGGGAAACTGATTCTTGTTTTTCAGCTCCAGTAACTTTGCTCTGTTGCATGTTGTGAAAATCAATAACTTCCTTTTTTAAGACTGAATGTTTTTATACATAGGTCTGTATGGAACAGTGCAGATGAAATATCTTTTGATTAAATGTGATCTGAAAGATTCTTTAATGTACGTTGTTTATGAGCATTGGATGTGATGATTTAAAAAGTTCTGCAATTTCACTAAGCTGTATAAATCTGAGGTTCTGCATTTGTAATAAAACAAAAAATCATCTGTATAAAGAATCTGAAAAATACCTGAAAATACATCTGTGTAAAGAAAAATCCAATGCTGGATCTCATAGATCTGTATGGTCTTAAATACAGAAGTTGTACTGTTACAGAATATTTAACCAAAGAAGCTTTGTCTCCAGAATACTGGAGAAACACTCTTCTTGCTTAATTCCTTGGTAGAAGAAAATGTTGGACGCTGCAATTTTGAGTCATTATTTCCACTAGCAGCTTCTGGGATTAGTTTCTATGGTTTACGTGTGCTGTGAGCTAAAACTTGACTCTTTCTTCCGTTGCTTTTTTTAAAGGAACAAACTCAATTTGGAAGGCCTAGAATCAAATCTTGTCAGTCCAAAAGGCGTTAATGTAAAGCAGGGGAGTTGTTTTTGAGTATAACACTACATTTGAATAATATAGCATGGGAGATTATTTCAGTTTAATACTTTCGAGAAGGTAGCACTCAGTCAATTTTGCTTTTTCTGATCTTTGTTACCATTTATGATTGATCATATATATGTAATTTTTTTTCCAATGAACTAGAATACAGCTGTGCGTATGGCTCAGGCAGATTCTTTATGCTCTGTGGCCTTGGTGGGATTATTAGCTGTGGAACAACACATACAGCACTGGTTCCTCTAGACCTGGTTAAATGCAGAATACAGGTTTGTTCTGCATGTTGATATGCGGTGACATTGACAAAGCATGTTTAGTGTGATATAATTAATCTACTAATGAATCTGAGGCATAAACCATTCCCTAGACATCATTGTCCAACAGTGCATGAAGTTTATGTAAAAGCATGGTGTGTCTTTATTTTTTGCTGCAGAATACAGTTGTGAATATGGCTCGCTCAAGTTTTATGCTCTCTGTGGCGTTGGTGGGGTCCTAAGTTGTGGCCTGACACACACTGCTGTTGTACCTCTGGATTTAGTGAAATGTCGTATGCAGGTTTGTATTAACTTAAACATTTTTTAAAAACTTTATGTAGCCAGCATATTAGGAGTTTACAGTAGGGGTGCAGTCTTTTCTGGGTCACAGGAAGTGAGTAAACTTGAATGCTGCTTTATCAAGTCTACTGCTGTGAGATCAACAAAATACCACTTTCAAGAGAAGCAGAGGCATTTAGGATAATCCGGATGAGTTATTTTTGGCTACATTTAAGGCACGTTTAACTGACTATTTGCTAAAAGGTACCCACCACGATGTTGTATTTGCTGGCTGGTAGGCTGTCTAGCACTATTCACGGGGTTTTGGAGATCTATGGTTTTTAGCTTGGAGCGACATGCATTGTAGAATTTGATCCATTAACAGTTTAGATATCACTGCATGGATTGTGGATTGGATACTTTCTAACGATGCCACTTTGAACAGAATGGGTACAACTTGATACGGTATTGCTAAGGCCATCAGTGTTTGTTGCTAGTTTGCTTGGAGTGGTTCTTGATGGAACTGAAAGGAGTGTCATCACATTGCACTTAATTTGCCATACCAGCTTCTGCATTAAAATCATCTACTGAGCAGCCATGGATAAAAACATACTAATAGATTTATTCAGGCGCATCACCTCAAGAATGAAGCAAATTAAAGCACACTTTAAAAAATTCTGGAAATATAGTAGTTAATGACTTTCTTGTTGCATAGGCTGACACTGATTGTAGAAGTGGTGATTCTGTAATGATAGAGCTTATGAAATTAGAAGGTAACTATGAATTGGTCAGACTTGCTAGTCACACTAGGAGTACTACAGCTGGTACTCTTTAAAACTGTTCTTCTGGAAGGCCTTTATTTAGTATTCTTTACAAGAGAGGCTCTTTCACATACTTTAGAGCACCTGAAATTCTGGTCTCAAACTAGTCATTCTGTAACACATCAGATAAACACAGGGTGCATCAGATGAGGCCAACATGCAGCTTTCTATAAAATTTGCGTTGAGACCAGGCCAACCATGTAGGAATTCCCCATTTCTACTAGTAGTGAATAGCTGTAGCAGAGTGTGTTTGGTTTCTGCAAACGTAGCTTAAGTGCACTTCTCTGTTATGGACTTCAAAATCCAAGATTGGTAGCTTGACTACCTGTGCCTAAGGATGAGTTTCCCGAGAAGATTGATTGTGGGTAAAGAGGATGTAGCATCTCTAACAGTTTTTAATTTCAGTGCAAATTGAGTTAAAGGGCAGAAGGCCCAAGAGCTATACAATGCTGCATATACAACTGGGAGCAAGGCCTCATACTTCCCAGGCTTCAACTGCTTGGAAGGTACGATCGGCTTGGGCTGCCAATCCTGGGCTTCTTGCATGATGAGGGTGGTGATACTTCCCCTTCCTTCTCCAGCACTTAATGGAAGGGGCAAGAGGATTCATGTGGATTCCAGGTGTGGATTCCAGGTGTGACCATGTGAAACCTGTCAGCATTTATCTTGTTACAGATCCTGTACAGAGCATGTTACCAATACTTCCTAGATTCTCCAGGAGGAAACCCATTGCCTGCCCTCTCATCTCTTTTTAAGATGAGGTCACCTTTTATGTAGATTATAATGAAGCACTGTCCTGACATGAACATAGTCTCGTTTTATAGTGCCCAATTAAAGACCCGATTTTCTGAAATTCTGAATCTTCAAAATTGACATGTTTAGGTGAACTAGTTCTCTAGGTTGTTGCCAGGCTGCAAGACAAAATACCAGTCACTGCAGGTTGGCGTGCATGTCCCACAGCAGCTCTTTCTGAAAGCTTTGGTTGACTTCTAATTTGATGTCTTCCTTCTTATTCCTCTGAGGAAATGTTAGATAATGTCAGATATGAAAATTCACAGTGTAATGCGACTTAAAATTTGTCAGTGACCTGTATAAGAATCTCTGCTGAATGGTTTCCTTCCACATGAAACAAAATTGTTCAAGTTGGTCTTTTAAAATTTGTTACTAATGTTACTAATGAAATCTCACTCAAAGTTTTGTGTGCAGAAAATATTTTTTTATGCGGCCTTTACTGTAAAGTGAAAGTACAAGTGTAGAAGTTCTTGAGTACTCTTTGATCTGCTTTGCTCCATCAGTCTTACTCTGACTGTGTGGAGGGATCAAACTAACAGTGGACAAATAACCTTTTATGATTAAGAATCAGGTGAATTGTCAGGCTTGGTTTGTGGTGACACTTGATTGTGATGTGTAAAGTGGATGAGATTGCTGGCAGAAGCTGTCAAATTTTTAAAGACTCTGATCTAAACGTAATTATACCAGTATACTACTGACAGTGTTAGAATAGTGATTTCAGTAAATCTTTTCAATATAGAAAGTGGTATTGTTGATTTGGAGAATGAATGTGAAGCAAAATTCACATGGTTTGGTGGTTCCTGAGTATTGAGGAACATACTGGCTGTTAGAATAACTTAGGGTTTCAGACTAACAAGTAACTGTTACAGTTACATTAGCGTAACCTTGTGGTGGAGTACACCGTCTGTCCAGGGAACCTTAGGAAGCCAGCTGCATGAGGAATTCAGGAATCTTTTATTTCAGATGAGGGTGTGAGAATGGAAATAGTATCTCTGTCAAGCAATTAACTGCCTATTCTGTTTAGGTTGATCCACAAAAATACAAGAGCATCTTCAATGGATTTTCAGTGACAGTCAAAGAAGATGGTGTCCGTGGCTTGGCTAAGGGATGGGCTCCAACCTTTATTGGATATTCCATGCAGGGGCTTTGTAAATTTGGTTTCTATGAAGTTTTCAAAATCCTGTATGGCAACATGCTGGGAGAGGTAAGCCTTAAGTGGTTTACATGAGGTTATATATCCACATCCTAATAGTATTAGTAGCACAGAGTAATCACAAGAGCACGGTTCGTTAATAAAAATGTGTGTTTAAATTCACTTCAGGAAAATGCATATTTGTGGCGTACTTCGCTATATTTAGCTGCATCTGCCAGTGCGGAGTTTTTTGCTGACATTGCTCTGGCTCCAATGGAAGCTGCTAAAGTTCGTATTCAAACACAGCCTGGATATGCTAACACTCTGCGGCAGGCTGTACCTAAAATGTTTGGAGAAGAAGGCATCTGGGCGTAAGTATCTCTTGATTTTAATTTTTATTTTTCTTCAGGTTCTTGATGCTGAGTGTTTTTTCGTAATGAAAGATGGTTGCTGAAATTATTGTTGCTTTAGCTTGTAAAGGCTGTACCTAAAATGTTTGGAGAAGAAGGCATCTGGGCGTAAGTATCTCTTGATTTTAATTTTTATTTTTCTTCAGGTTCTTGATGCTGAGTGTTTTTTCGTAATGAAAGATGGTTGCTGAAATTATTGTTGCTTTAGCTTGTAGTACTTTTTGGTCTTTGCATTTCAAAATAACAACTTGACATACCTCAGGGAACTTGTGCTGAACTGGCTGTTAATTCCACATGCTCCTTAGATCCATCTTTGTGAGTATCTTTGTGCTGAGTTCTGCTGGATAACCTCAGTTTCTAGCAGTTCCAGTCAGAGATAGTCAGCAACTTTTGGTTGTACAGTCAAAGATGCTTGAGTCATTGGCATGTAAGAGTAATACAACTGCATGTTAGCTTTCTGTTCTGATAGAAGTGGCTGTAAATATGCAAGTCATTTATCACTATCGGGACTTGGCTGGTATGCAGACATGAGCCTTACTGCCCTTGTAGTATCAGTACTGCATTACTGCAACACATTGTAATCTGAAAAGTGACTACAAAAACAGCAGTGCAGCGTAGGCATTTGGTAAATTCTAATTTGTGTTGCTGTTTGAGGTTAGTACTCAGGGAACTAGTAAAACTTAAATTTCTGTTCTGTAGGTATTGAGACACTTAAGCCTTACAGTGCCAGTATTTAGAAATTGTATTCCTGATAGTAACAATAAGCTGACTAATTTTTTTCAAATTAGAAACATACCTTAGATACTAGAGAAAATGAAACTGAGTTTGTCTCCTCTCTGGTTAAGTTTTTATAAAGGTGTTGCACCACTATGGATGAGACAGATTCCATACACAATGATGAAATTTGCCTGCTTTGAACGTACTGTTGAAGCTCTCTACAAGTACGTCGTTCCCAAGCCACGAAGTGAATGTACAAAAGCAGAACAGCTGGTAGTCACATTTATTGCAGGCTATATTGGTAAGCATCTTTAAGTCCCACACTTCACTAACGGACTACTACAGCTGTAGAAGCCTATTCCTTTTCAGAATATCAAATAGATGTAACGAGAATGGGAGAACTTAGTTGTAACTTTAAAACGTCCAGGGGAAAAAACTATATTCAATGTGTAAGTGGAAAATGGGTCTGTATTAGGACAATACTCTTGGTTGTTCCTATGTATTACCGCTGTTAATATCCAGGTTTAGAAACTGCCGCTGATTTAAGTGAAAAAACTTGCATCTTTGGTAGGCTGGGGGAGGTTGAAGAAAGGGGAGAGAACTCTGTATGGAAGGACGATTTTCAATATCCAGAGATTTAGAAGGAGTTTTGTTTTAGCACAAGAGATGCTGTAAGGGTAGAACTGAGGTGCTTTCTAATACTCACGTTTCATTAGAAGTGTGTGCCTGCTGTCTTTTTAGCAGGAATCTTTTATTTCAGATGAGGGTGTGAGAATGGAAATAGTATCTCTGTCAAGCAATTAACTGCCTATTCTGTTTAGGTTGATCCACAAAAATACAAGAGCATCTTCAATGGATTTTCAGTGACAGTCAAAGAAGATGGTGTCCGTGGCTTGGCTAAGGGATGGGCTCCAAACTTTATTGGATATTCCATGCAGGGGCTTTGTAAATTTGGTTTCTATGAAGTTTTCAAAATCCTGTATAGCAACATGCTGGGAGAGGTAAGCCTTAAGTGGTTTACATGAGGTTATATATCCACATCCTAATAGTATTAGTAGCACAGAGTAATCACAAGAGCACGGTTCGTTAATAAAAATGTGTGTTTAAATTCACTTCAGGAAAATGCATATTTGTGGCGTACTTCGCTATATTTAGCTGCATCTGCCAGTGCGGAGTTTTTTGCTGACATTGCTCTGGCTCCAATGGAAGCTGCTAAAGTTCGTATTCAAACACAGCCTGGATATGCTAACACTCTGCGGCAGGCTGTACCTAAAATGTTTGGAGAAGAAGGCATCTGGGCGTAAGTATCTCTTGATTTTAATTTTTATTTTTCTTCAGGTTCTTGATGCTGAGTGTTTTTTCGTAATGAAAGATGGTTGCTGAAATTATTGTTGCTTTAGCTTGTAGTACTTTTTGGTCTTTGCATTTCAAAATAACAACTTGACATACCTCAGGGAACTTGTGCTGAACTGGCTGTTAATTCCACATGCTCCTTAGATCCATCTTTGTGAGTATCTTTGTGCTGAGTTCTGCTGGATAACCTCAGTTTCTAGCAGTTCCAGTCAGAGATAGTCAGCAACTTTTGGTTGTACAGTCAAAGATGCTTGAGTCATTGGCATGTAAGAGTAATACAACTGCATGTTAGCTTTCTGTTCTGATAGAAGTGGCTGTAAATATGCAAGTCATTTATCACTATCGGGACTTGGCTGGTATGCAGACATGAGCCTTACTGCCCTTGTAGTATCAGTACTGCATTACTGCAACACATTGTAATCTGAAAAGTGACTACAAAAACAGCAGTGCAGCGTAGGCATTTGGTAAATTCTAATTTGTGTTGCTGTTTGAGGTTAGTACTCAGGGAACTAGTAAAACTTAAATTTCTGTTCTGTAGGTATTGAGACACTTAAGCCTTACAGTGCCAGTATTTAGAAATTGTATTCCTGATAGTAACAATAAGCTGACTAATTTTTTTCAAATTAGAAACATACCTTAGATACTAGAGAAAATGAAACTGAGTTTGTCTCCTCTCTGGTTAAGTTTTTATAAAGGTGTTGCACCACTATGGATGAGACAGATTCCATACACAATGATGAAATTTGCCTGCTTTGAACGTACTGTTGAAGCTCTCTACAAGTACGTCGTTCCCAAGCCACGAAGTGAATGTACAAAAGCAGAACAGCTGGTAGTCACATTTATTGCAGGCTATATTGGTAAGCATCTTTAAGTCCCACACTTCACTAACGGACTACTACAGCTGTAGAAGCCTATTCCTTTTCAGAATATCAAATAGATGTAACGAGAATGGGAGAACTTAGTTGTAACTTTAAAACGTCCAGGGGAAAAAACTATATTCAATGTGTAAGTGGAAAATGGGTCTGTATTAGGACAATACTCTTGGTTGTTCCTATGTATTACCGCTGTTAATATCCAGGTTTAGAAACTGCAGCTGATTTAAGTGAAAAAACTTGCATCTTTGGTAGGCTGGGGGAGGTTGAAGAAAGGGGAGAGAACTCTGTATGGAAGGACGATTTTCAATATCCAGAGATTTAGAAGGAGTTTTGTTTTAGCACAAGAGATGCTGTAAGGGTAGAACTGAGGTGCTTTCTAATACTCACGTTTCATTAGAAGTGTGTGCCTGCTGTCTTTTTAGGCTACTAGGAAGCTTGAGATGACTTCTGTGCAATTCATTAGAAATATATGAGAAGGTGTGGTTTCAATTGGTTGTACTTAGCGTACACAGTAATGGTACAGCTAAAACATGACAGAACTAATGTCAAATTATTCTTCCAGCTGGTGTGTTCTGTGCAATTGTTTCCCATCCTGCTGACTCTGTGGTGTCTGTGTTGAACAAAGAAAAGGGCAGTTCTGCCTCACAGGTTCTTATGAGACTTGGATTCAAAGGTACATCCTTACTTTCATGTATTTTGGATCAAGTGTGTTTGGTGTTTTGGGGAGGATTTCTTTTTTTCCTGGCTTCTTACACTACTCATGGTTTATGTTTTGCTCTACAGGTGTATGGAAAGGTCTGTTTGCTCGTATCATTATGATTGGTACCCTGACTGCACTACAGTGGTTCATCTACGATTCTGTGAAGGTTTATTTCAGACTTCCTCGTCCACCTCCACCTGAAATGCCAGAATCTCTGAAGAAGAAGCTTGGTCTAACTGAATAGACAACTCATGGACTGACTATGCTGGTTGTCCCAGTGATGAGTTTCATGAAACTTTTATATATTTGACTATGTAGAAAAGAAACTCTATATGATGTCATTATTGGCTGTGCCCTCATCTCAGATGAGGGTTTAAATTCTACCACTGTCATTGCCTGAAATAAATGAGAAACAGTGCTTAGTGTCTGTTTACTACCGCATATGTAAGCTTCATTTCATAGCAGCAAATACCTCAAATACTGCTCTACTTCCCCCCCCCCCCCCCCAACAAAACATACAAAAAAAACTTCTTCCAGCAGAGAATTGTGGAACAATTGTAACAAAAATAGGCTTTTACTCTTTCCAGAGAAGTGCCAAGAACCTGTCCTTGCAGAACTGCAGAAACTAGCTGCAGTTCTGTGCTCTGTTTTATTTGCCTGTAATAAGCTGATACTGTAGAACAGCTGAACTCGTGAATGGCTGAGATGAGACTGCAGTCGGGTAGGGCATGCTGGTCATCCTGTCGGTGTTCTCCATAGAGATACAGGGAACCTTATACATAACGGAGCTGATTCTGCTTTGGGGTGGTCATCCCAGCATAACTAACTTACGCTTACTTGACTAATTTCTGCTTTGACTAATTTTTGGCTTTGAACTGCATCAGAGAACTCAGTCCTTTTGGTTGTACTGTGGAATTGAACAGTAGCTGTTACTTTAACAAAAGAAAAGCTGATGTTAATAAAGATTCTTAAAGATATCTGACCACTAAAAGCTTATTACAGCTTTACAGTTAAATTACAATAAGAGGCAAGCCATTTTTTTAGTTTGACAAACTTGCCAGCTTTTTCCTACACTTCGTACTCCTGTAGCTTGGTTTTTGGGTAGGGTTTTTTTTGTTTGAACAATGTACTTCTGCAGTGCAAGAAGCCATACCGGGTTTTTTTTGACCTAACTTCATGTGAAGAAATCTAGGCTCCTAGGCATGCAACAGGAGACACTCATGCAATGTTTTGTTAAGGCAATTAATTTTGTTTTTTACAGTCTTTCACAGAAGGATGAGCATGCTGCCTTCTGTGTTTTGCCTGTGCAAGAACCCACAGTTGATAATCACATTGATAAAAATCTAGAAAAGGCCTGATACTATGTTTAAGGGTTTGCTGTATCCAGTACTACTTTGTTTGCTTAGTAGAGCTGGAGCTAAAGTGTCTTTTGTGCAAAACTGGGTATGCTGCCTTTCAGCTCGTGAGCTGATGATGCTGGACTTCGCTTGGCATTCACATACGTTGTACTGCTGCTCCGTCCTCATGTGTCCTTCAGAGTCAAAAAGGACAGTTAAAGCAGGCACCATTGGAGTAGCATAAATACACTGACCATAGCATTTTACTGAAGTTCCTGTTACCACTTTACGGAGCTTCTCACCCCCTGAAAAAACCCTCTGACTACCAAGATTTTGGATGGTTATGCTAAATAAGCAAACTGACTCTTATTTTGAATTGCAGCCTTCCAAAATGCAGAGTAAAATCTAAAACTGCTCTATTTCCTGTCACCAGGAGACTAACCGCTGGGAGTGGCTGATATCAACTGTGTTATTCAGCAAAGTCAAATTCTGGAAGTCTAAATAAAACATTTGTCTAAGTACTTTGATGTTGAATTAAGTATATTTCATGGCATAAGTACGTACATCTTGTTGCCCCATCATGAGTGGGAAGCTTTGAAATTATTTAACAAACCTTTAAATGCTCCTAAGAGCTTCCTTGGAGAAGAGAATTAACTATGACTTGATCTTGCATCAAGTCTGCTGATGTTCAGTCAGCTTTTGAAGTTAACTTTTGTACGTGGTTCAGTTAGAAAGAGCAGTGTTGCTTGTGTACTGAATATCATACCCTCTTTAAAGATGTGTTTTGACTCAGCAGACTTTTCCTTTGTTTGCTGGAAAACAGCTGGAGTTCTTTCTAATCCTGGGAAAGTGGAGAACTTGCGCCAGCTTTGAAGGCTGGCAGAAGAGTGAGGCAGACTTGGCTCTCATTGTCAAGTAACCCAATGATAAGCTAAATTTCTCAAGACTGTTTCTTGTCATTCTGTGTGTGGAGCAAAATCATGCAATTTTTCTCTGGAATTGGGTTGCCTTTGTGCAGGTGTTTTAAGTATGTGGAGTAAGTAATAGGAGAATCTTAAATCGATTTTCTCACTGCTTAAGGGCACACCTGAAACTATCTTAAAGATACTCATAATTTTATCAAGGTAAGACTCAGAGAAGATTACAAGGGGCAGCTAGCTGTCCTTTTCTTTTGTAACTGAGAAAGGGAAAATACACCTAGTGCTACTTCAGTGTTGTGTTTCAGTGGGAAACCCAAGAGGGGAAGAGAGTTGCCTTGCAGCTGCTGACCTCATTGATGTCCAGCTACCGGCTTGTTCAGGTGCTCGAGATGAAGGGGTTTAACATACAAAATGCTGTTGCTTAAAGGGTCACCCGCTGATGCTTTAAATAAGTTTCAGTGGGGAAACTGCAGCATTAAAATGCATTTAAAAGGTCAGCTTTGTCATTGGTAACCAGGCTTTGTAGCACAGTATGTGGTATGCTTGCCAAAAGCTGAGCGGATGGGGCGGGGGAGCGGCAGTGCTCTAGGTGGACTCACACTTTCATTACAAGGCAAGTCCTGTATCAAAAAGGAGCGCTCCATTCTGAACCACGTATCACTTAAAGAACTCCAGGCGAGTCACTAAACCCAAAAGTGCTTTGTGAAACGTGGATTACGTGCATGCTGCTTATGTATATTGTTTCCTGAAGGAGAAAACATCCTTTCTTGCTAGTACTGGAACTGAGATCAGCTTTCTGGTTTAAAGCGTACTGCCTGTGTGAATTTGGAGCAATAACTCCGTTCACACCCTGTGTTTGTATCAGATTGTACTAAGGTCAAATGTGCTGATGTTGCTGATACTTGCTGAAGTGCTTGTTACCTATCATTTTAAAATGGGCTGTAATAATACAAATAGTTGTAATTCATTTACATTTCTACATAGAAATTATGTAGTTCACAGTGAAAATAATAAACATCCTGCTTTTTTATAGCAACTATGAGTACCTTGGGTAGCTGAGCTTAGTAGCTACACAGCCTTGTTACAGGATACCATTTTTGTAACTCAAGTGATGTGGGAGAAGGATGTTGCTAGCAGAAACTTATTGGCTGAGCTGATATTCGGGTGTCTAAAGGTAGATTTTAATGTGTTGGGATTACGTTGCTTGTGTCACTTTTCATCACTGATCACTTAATGCTATTGCTGGGGGGTTTTGTGGGTTTTGGTTTGTTTTTTCTTGTGAGTTGCTGGCAAGGGTATAATTGGCCAGTTCTGTGCCTGCATAGTAAGTTAAAAGCAAAGATGTTCTGAGTATTCCTGCAGGTTGGGCTGCATGGGATGATACGTTTTAAGTAATACAGATGTAATTTTCATTATTACCCAAATCTCTCAATCACCTAATAAAATTGTAGAGTGTATCATTGAGTGCCCCTAGAAATGAACGAAGTAAGGGGTTGTAGTTTTACTGAGCTGATTCCCACTGACAGTACTAAACCAAGGAGGCGAGGCTAGTAGCCTGCTTTACATTTGTGGAAAATACCTCACTTTCTGCCTCATCTTTTTTTTTTTTTTTCATTTTGTACAAAGAGCTTTGTTCTGTCCTTAGACCACTGTAATTACAAAGCAACTCTGAAACTTGCATTTCATTTTTTAGTACAGTGGAGATGTGTTCTTGAAGGGCAAACAAAGATTTGCAATACCTGTGCAGATCATGGGAGAATTACTGATCATTTGCCTTACTTCTGAGGACAGTACAGTGGGTGCATAAACTTTAGATCCAGATATAATTTTTTTTCCAAGTAAACCTTACCTCCGTGACTTAAACTTTTTCTCTCTGCTTGTGGCAACAAAGTTTCTGAAAGGATCATAATACTTTGGACCTGCACTTCCTGGGAAGGAAGGGTGGGTGGCCTGTGTACATGTACAGAAAAAGTGAAATTAATGGTTCTGTAACATTTTTTGCATACTTAACTTTCCACAGAGATCATGAACAGGACCGCATACTCAGCTTTTCACTGGTAGATCTGTTCTAAGATTTGGAGGTTATTCATTTGGGGATTAAAAGTGAAATCAACAGTTGTTTATCCTGGCTTACTTGCTGGTTACTGTTCCAGAGACAGTGTGCTCTGTTCATCCAGAAAGACCTCTCTGCTGTGTCAGGACGTCTCTGATTAACTGTGCAGCTGGAGCATACTTTCCACTTCACTTGTGTAGATAGTGTTCTGCTGGTTCTCTAGTTCTGACTCTCCAGATTTTTACTGCCTACTGCTCATAAATGATCATTCAAAAAGCTGAAAACAAAATAAATAAAATAACTCTAGCCCATGATCCAATTAATCTACTGGTAACTGCATCTTATAGGCCATAGTGAAAGAGGCATAGGATAGATTTCTCACACAGCTGTGTCAGTGTTCTTTTGTGCCAAGTGCTCTCCTTCACGGGGATAGCGTGAGCTTGCGCACGAAAAACCCACCACCCCAGGATTCGTGGATTCAGTGAATATCAGGCTTCAATATACAAATGAAATATGCCTGTTAGGTAATCCCTAAACTCTTCTGATGTATGTATGTGCATGTATATGTTTTTTTTTTCAGGTATGATACACAACATACACTTTAGCATGGCTGATCATTCTGGATGTTCTTTAATTTTTCTGTCTCCTCCAAATGCCATTTGGTTATTTTCAGGAGCTTGCTTAAGAACTGTGTGAAACAGCAAAGGGACACTGGTTGGTAAATAATGTCATGGAATCATAGAATGGTTTGGGTTGGCCTAGAAGACAGCTGGAGAGGGACTTGTTACAAGGGCATGTAGTGATAGGACAAGGGGTGATGGCTTTAAACTGAAAGAGGGTAGGTTTAGATTAGATATAAGAAAGGAATTCTTCACTATGATGGTGGTGAGGCACTGGAACCGGTTGCCCAGAGAAGCTGTTGCTGCCCCCTATCTGGCAGTGTTCAAGGCCAGGTTGAACAGGGCAACCTGGTCTAGTGGAAGATGTCCCTGTTCATGGCAGGGGGGTTGGAACCAGATGATCTTTAAGGTCACTTCCAACCCTTACCATTCTATGATTCTGTCATTTTGCAGGCTAAGAAACAAGGAATGAATAACATGGTGAGG